CGGATGGGCAGCGTCCCGGAAAGTTACCAGCCGGCTACTATGTAGCAAAATAAGTTGAAGGTTCTACTTTCGAAAGATAGGACGATCAATTAGTCTATAAAATTAGTTGCAGGGACTGTGCGCGAGTGCATAGATCAAAGAGCGAGAGAAGTTCATACGAGGATAGCAGAACACATGAAGTACGCTTCGCGTCTACCAATAACCGAGGCTGAATACTAGGCCTTTCTAAAAGACTTAGCAGTAGCGGTAAATGCACTAGACTCGAGACACGGAATCGACTAACGTAATGTATAGATTCTTAGGAGGGAAGTAAAAAATCAAGTCAAAGATTAATAGTTGAGGCACTAGAATTCGCCAATGCCACTAAATGTGTAAATCGAATAGATGCGTGAAGCTACCAACCGCTTGGCTGAATGTCTTAACCCGGCCAGCCTGAGCAGCTTCAACGGACGGATTCAAGCTGGAACGAAAACGTCGGACTATCATCACTAGAATTAACAACAAGAACAATAACAATAGCAACAGTGCCTCACATATAAATGACCCGTTACACATATACATAAGAAATGTACCAAGCACATCATACCAGCTTGACTTGACCGATTGAGCTATACTGGGTGGTGCCTCCGGGCCCCTTGAGAGCTACCCCTACCAGATTTGTCAGTGGTGAGAGGTCAGACTAACTCAGTCTCCTAGTCCTCCAGGTTGGGGGTTTGAAATCGGATGGTACCCATTTCTGTAGAACTAGCCCACTGAAACTTCCCCACTGCCTTGTGGACAGCCACTTGAGCCAAAGTCCTTGATTGAGGACGTTAATCGTCCTCCTGTCTAGACCTGGGCACTCTGGCAGTATCTCAGCCTACATACAACCATGACATTTTCTTCAAACATAAACTTCAACCTGCGTCGGCAGTCGCGCAGATTAGCAAGGGTGGCCTTATCTGCTGTACACAGCAGGGTGGATAAGCGAAAACATGCTGCTACTGGCTTCTCCCTTCTTCCATTTCCACCTTAAGTACCAACCCTCCTGTATTTACCAGCTTAATTGACAGCAACCGAAGCGCCACTAGAGTAGAACCATCTGAAGTCACCTTCCCACAAGGTCCATCGGACGCTTATGGCCAAAAGCTCCTTACAAGGCCAAGCTGTCCCGTTTCCATGGCGAAGTTCAACGTTCGCACTCTAAGACAAATAGGTCAATAGGTTGCACCCGCACTCACATTGGACACACTGCATATTGGTGTGTGCTGAGTGTCTGAAACAAGGATCAATGACACAAATGGGGTTGTTGAATTAACTGCACCCGGCTTATCCTCTCGTTATTGGTTGCACGTATCCGTAGACGTCGATGCGGCACTCACGGGTCAAGCTGGTTTAGGTATCAAAATAATCTCCAAGGCTGAGCCATCGTTGCTTGATTGCATCCCAGTGAACAGCCGTTTATGTGTAGCCCGCTTGACGACACTGACTGAGGTTGATTCACAAAGTAGTACAAAACGCTGTTTATTTGTGAGTTTCTCTCATGATTCCACCGACCGCAGCTCAAATGCTGTCAAGGACACATTCCACCACGAACTAAACGCGCTACTACGCAGTGCTATCAGTTCAGATATTACAGTACTTGCATGGGATATGAACGCACAAGTAGGGCGTCTCTGCTCTTCAGAAGCTCAGCTGGGTGGTAAGTATGGGCTTAACTCCGAACGGACTGACAACGGTGAGCGTCTGCTGCAACTGGGTGAGGAGCACCAGTTGTTTCTTAGTAACACTGCTTTTAGACACAGTGGGCGCTGAAGTGCCACATGGCGTTCTGTACCTGGCCAGCGATGGACCCAAATCACCACATTGCCATGAGTTACAGGTGGCGTGGTTCCATCCTGGATTGCCGCTAGTACTGTAATACCTGCATCGACTCAGTTCATGTTTTAGTACGCTGTCGTTTCTCCATGAACTTTACCATGAGACGCACCAAGCGTCTCCACCTATTGGCAAATAAGAAATTGTCTCAGCCCTCGGTCAGACAAGCCTATCAAGACGCACTGCGTAACCAACTTTCGCTGGATTGTCCTAGCGGCACTGAGCTGCAACGGAATAGGATCCCGGCCGCCATGTCCGACGCAGAAGCATCTGCGTGTGGCACTCTCAATCGTCACCGCACCAGTGTATGGATATCCGAGAAGTCCGTGAACCTGTTGGAATCTAGAATAAACCTCCTGGCTGGCTCTGAGCTCAATGTGACCAGACGGACTATTAGGCGCGAACTAAAGCGGAGCTTAGGTGCTGACAAGGAAGCCTGATGGACCTGTCTGACTCAAGAAATGAAAAAAGCGATAGCACTAGAAAATTACCGCAAGCTATTCTAGCTGATCCGCACCACTGGTCACAGGAAACCAGGCATTAGTGAGACAATCAGAGACAGCGCGGGTGTACTGATACACAATAAGGAACGCCGTATGGATCGTTGGGTGGAACACATTCAAGATCACTTCAGCTGGCCCCCCTGCTACTGGACATCTTCCTACTCAGATGATGCTGGACGAGCCATTGACGGTTATTATATAGCCTCTGTCGCAGGCCGAGGTCCAAAAAGCGATCCCAGTTCTCAACCATTTTCGTGCCGCTGGCCCGGATTCCCTCTCACTTGCACTATTTAAGAATGGAGATGAGGTCCTCTGCAAAGCACTGACCTCCCTATTCGAAGGTATCTGGAAGGAAGAGAATGCCCCCGCTGATTGGAGCGAATCTATTATAGTAGGAATATGCAAGAAGAGCAGTCGCACAGACGTTCTAACACCAGGAGTATTAGCCTAATGCCGTGACAAAGTTACTGGTCTCGATTCTCGTTCCTCGCCTCAGTGTGGAACGGGAATCTCAAATTAGGGAAGAGCAGGCTGGTTTCCGTCCTGGGGGTGACTGCGTAGACCATACATTCAGTCTGCGGCATGTGCCAAAGCAGCGCCACGCATACCGTAGACCGACAATAGCTGTGTTCATCTATTTCAAGAGTGCGTTCTATTCAGTCGATTGATGCGTTCTGTTCGAAATACCTGCGCGAAAAGGTGTTCCCACGAAATGTGACCATCCTTCGTGCTATATACTCAAAAATTACAGGCCGCGTCAGGGTCTACAGTGGACTATCGGATAGCTTTCCGACCGCAAGTGGCGTTCGTCAGGGTTGTCCGATTTTACCGTTTTTGTTCAATTTTGTCGTGGATTGTAGCATGGAGTGTTCCCTTGCGAAATCTCAAGATAAAAGCGTTGAGGTCCTGCATGGTGAAAGATTAGTTGACCTTGATTATGCAGCCGGTGTCGTCTTGCTTTTCGATGATGTTGCGGCGGCACCAACAACCCTGAATAGTCTGTCTAGACTGGTCCCATTATTTGGTATGCGCTTTGCATCTTCAAAGTGCAAAGTGTTGCTGCAAGACCTCCAGCCATTTGATGGCCCCTTAAACCTTGATAACGAGGAACTCGAGGCGGTTGATCAATTCACTTACCTTGGCAGCTGCATCAGACAAGATGGGCACATAGAAATCGAAGTCAGTCCACGTACTGAAAAGGCCAGAACTGCCATCTTGAACCTGCGGCATCTTTGGCGACAGAAAGGAGTTCCCGTTCGTCTGAAAGCTCGTGTATACACGGCCACAGTGAGGGCGTCCCGCTCTATGGTAGTGAAACTTGGCCCCTTCGGTCTGAAGATCTGAGGCGCCTTCAAGTCTTTGATCATCGTTGTCGGAGAAGCATTGCTGGTACCGGATTCCACAAGCATGTCCGCAACGATTATGTGCGTAGGCGAGTGGTAGGTAGTAATAATCATGCCAGTTCGATAGAACAACAGCTAGCGCTGGATAAGTTGCGTTGGATTGGGTACGTGCTACGTATGCCTGGTTAACGCTTACCTAGGAGGGCACTGTTTAGTCTTCCAGGTGCAGAAAGACACAGAGCTAGAGGTGGACAGAAGCTGACTTGGCAGCGGCAAATGAAGTCACTGACGACCAAACTGGGTGCCGTTGGTCCTTCTCGCCTTCCGGACTGGAGTCCACGTGACTCACCTTGTGCTTGGCGCGAGTTTACGGGACATGGCTCGCAACCGACACCCGTGGCGCGTCTGATGCCATCTCTTAGTAAGATTGCCTGCTTAAAGTGTGTTTGGTGCTGATTCATCTGCGGGGTAATGGCCGATTATGAAGCGGGGAAGTGTAAGTCGCAAGGAAGCTGGCTCGCCGGTGCCGCCTTATCTTGGCAAGATAGCCAGCTGTTTGTGACGGTAGGTCGTCTGCACAAGTTGTAGGCGCTTTGACCCTAAATGTTTGCTTAGGGCATTAAGGTTTTCAAGTAAGTCCCTCCTCTCTCTTCGTGAGTCTTTATTCCGTAAGTCATCAAAGTTATATGGCAGCGAAGCATCAATTCAAATGGCTGATGTACTGCTGCTGTTGTTTTTGTTAGTTTTAGAAACTTTAACCCCATATCCCATTGACCCTGGCTATCTGTCGCAATAATCATCTTAATTTGTCCTAAAAAGCCAAACTAGTTGTTCACCAAGGCTGAAGAAGCTCTTGTGTCAGAATCAAAACGTTGCCACACGGTAAGCCTAAAGAAAGCTTATTTTTATTTTCAGGCATTCCAAAGTTAAGAATCACAGTTACTTGTGCAACATGTTGCTGAGTGTTATAAGCTCCCTACTTTTCCAGAATATTTTGTCCAGTCTCCGACAAGGTGGCCATTTCACTGTAGTTTATGGGCCGCGACTGTAAAATAAAAACTATTCACAACATTTAATTAAAAAAGCTCCTGTCTTATAAATTGTATGAGAAAATTTATGAGGGGAATAGTAAAAAATAGTTGAAAATATATCGAAGTACAGGTAGAAATAACGTGGTTTGGAATGCGGATATTTACAGAGTAGGCATGGAAAGACAGAACTGTTGAATCCTACTCGTGGCAAGATATTGGTTTAGGATGTGCTTCCTGTTAATAAATCCGAGGGTCGTCAAACTTGCTTATATGGGCTTCTCAAACAAAAATAGGACTTGAACAAAGGTTTTCAACATCCCTATCTTTAAAGTTGATTTTCACGGGGCCAGTTCAATTGTTTACCCTGACATTCGCTAGAGTAACGTTTGCATCACATAATACTGCAAGCAGGTCCTTTCTTTTTTCTCCGTAAGGCAGCTCTTGTAGCGACTTCAAAGACTTCACGTACACCTTCTTTAGTTTTAGCTGTTGTACAAGTAAGGTCGAGTAACATTAACAAATATTCTACCTGAACATTCCATGTAGGCATATGCATTGATCAAGCGCGCCATGGCACAGCCCTCCTCTGAACGCACAGGCTCCTGTCGCATTCTACCTAAGTACTTCACTGTATCTGGATCATTTCTAAGATCTTTCTTGAGACCAACGAGTACGATGGGAACATTTGGACAGAAGTGTCTGACCTAACGCAAATATTTTGGCGAGAAACGGTTACTTCACCATTCCACTTTTCTTTGACATTTAGCAAACTGTCTGGAGAATCCACCCCAAAGCACATGAGGACCACACTTGTGTCCGGATAAGACAACGTTCGCAGTCGATCGTAGTCTTCTTGACCAGCAGTATCCCATAGAGATAATTCGACCTAATGACCGTGTCTGATAAAAAGTATTATAGCGGCTACCTCTTTACCATCCACTGTGATATCCGATACAAAGGTATCAAAAACAGTTGGAACGTAATGCTCAGGAAAAATATCTTTACTGAAAACAATAAGTAGGCATGTTTTCCCGCAAGCGCCATCACCAACGACGACTAATTTCTTCCTAATGCTAGGAACCATGGTAACGGTGAAACACTTTCCAAGATTCTTTGGATCTGTATATGAAGTGCTTTCTTATGAATTACTATCCACTATTATTAACAACGGGACTGTCACGATGGAAGTGAGCGTTTGATAGGTGGAAAATATGCTCTTGGGCGGGAGTACTCTAGTTGACATAACAGCAGCTAATATTTTATAAAAATTTGTTCAAACGTTTTCCTTAATATACAGCACAGCATTATAGAATCTTTGTTCTTCCCAAAAGCAAGGAGCGCATATTTTTCCGGGCATTGTTATCTACACTGTTAGAGTCAATGGTATCACCAAACTATTTACTCCTATGTCTTTACTTATAATCAAAGGGGCCGTTTTTAAAATATAACGCATATTTATATACCTGATGCAAAAGAAGTGATGTATATTTTTCTGACCGTGTACTACAGAACATAACACAATCCTTACACAATTGTAGCAGCTGTTGTGCTATAAAACGTCCCCACGGTTAAAATTGGATAACTTTAAATAGGCGCAAGTCAACATCCACAAATATATTAAGCACCTGTGAAAATGAAGAAGCATACACATACCGTAAAAGTACCTGAACATAAGGAGCTGTATGAATTATGGATACTTTGATGAATTATCTTATGTTTCGAATACAAATCCCTTTTTGTGGATATTTATTGTGGCGGAGTTTCGCGTTTGACGCCAGACCATTTCATGTTATATGTATCGATAAATACGGGGCCAAGCCTCCAAAATAGGAAGAGATGTTTGCTAGAAATAGCAAGTAGCATTAGGTAAGTGTTGCCACAATGATTTAGTTACTTATTTCCTTTATTAATTAGGAATATTTCGATTTCGATTTTCGTCCAACGCTTAGATGCATACACTGCACAAAATGTGTGTGAAAAATGACGCATTCCTCGTTGGGTTCCTATCTTAATTTTGGGATATGCAATATAAAGCAGCTGCGTAGAGTGCCTTCAATTTGAATAACTGAGGGCTCAAAATGCAGTTGGATGCTGTCGGGGCCTAATTCAAATAAGTATTATTCAGTGTGGCATTTGCGATGCATGCGTTCCACGTTTTCATTGCTATTAAAGTTTCGTTCGTCCCTCTTAAACCTTACTGGCTGCAGACACTCCCTAAGACTCGTATGTACTTTATTCCAAAGAGAATGCGTACACTATTTTCTGTCTTTCGAGGATAAAATCGTGCCTGTCTGAGCAAATTAGTTCAAGTTTGACCCAGCGCTTAGATTAAAGCTCTGGAATGCCCTCTTGTAGCCCAATGTAGATAAAAAGCTAAGCTTAAGTCTCACGTGTTGCAAGCAAAGGAGTTGGACTTTGAGATGGATGTACTACTCTTTATAAGTTATACACTTGTTTCCATTAAGAAGCCTCTTGGTCATGTGACTGAGAATTTTCCATTAAGATCCGGTCAGATTCCCTTAAGCTGCTACATATGAATGGCCAATGTCCTCTTTGCGGACGACTGCACATTCTGTACATTTCTAATCTTGCTTCAGCATCGTGAATGCGCCGGCTTATGAGACAGGCTAACTGTCATGATTTAGCTAGTCTGAAACGTAGTAGTTTGGAACAGTTAAATCATTGGAATAACGCAACCCTAGGCTTTTCACAAAGGGGCTCGTTTTGAAACCTGTATCATTAATAGTTAAAGCACTGGTTATGGCGTATTTATAATCATTGAGGAGGTGCACGGGATCTTTCACTTATAGCACCAAGAGTCTAAAGTTAAAACATGTTTTCTGATTCACTTGGCATGAAATAGCACCTGCGGAATGCGCAAAAGAATGCCAAGCTAAAACCTAGAAAAGATGAGTCGTATTCGAGAACTGCTGAATACTTGAAATCCCAGTCGGTTCCCAACCTATTCCGGGATGTTTATACTTAATATTCTTATTTGCCGTACATCAAACATTTTGCTGCTGCATCGCGAATCTATATGTTTGTACTGTCTTCACCAGGGCGAGGTAAATATGCGGGTTTTTTGTAAAAATCAAACCTAACTAATAATACACATCATAGCTTGCTCACCAGGCAAAATACGAAATTTATTGCTTAACAGTTTGTGCGTAGTTGCGCACGTACATATTGACATCCGTGACTATGATATCATAGTGCTAAAAAGCAGTAAATAAATAAATAAATAAATAGTATATTCTCGAATTTCCGAGAAACACCTGACCAGGCATGATCAACGTTTACAAGCAATTTATGTTTCGCAACAAACACGTTGCTATGTATGTAATCGGCAGTAAGTCGAAAGTTGTCCAAGCTTTGGAAATTGTAAAATTAATCTTGAGGCATAAATTCGTCATAACATGACGACAAGTTGGGTTCTAGTGGGCGTAGTGTAAACAGGCTGGGCATTCCGTTTGTAGAGAAAACTTGTCAGGAAAATATTACATTAGGATTCTGGTCGGCTTGCCAGTATGTAGTTGTGGGCAGTGACTTTATTCAGTGGCGAGTCACATCCGCCACGTCGCAGTGTTGTTAAGCGGACATTTGTGGCTTTTTATAGGGAGAACGCTTGCCAAGCGAAAACCCACCACGTCCTGAAACACTGGCAGAAATCCTTTTGTACACTAATGTAAAACTGGCAGAGCAGCTCGTCGACTGATTTAACCCTCGGTTAACCGCCGTCAATTGCCTTCTATTTTCCTCTGTTAGCTGAACAGGTTATTTTTGCTCGGGGCGGCCATAATGGCTGAGGCCTATGGAGGGTTAGACCTTCTTCATCTTCGTGTCCAGGTGAGCAAAACTTCCGATTCTTGCTTCTAGAATTTACAGAATTATGGATACTTCGCAGGAGTATGAAGGCGTCATGTCCAGCTACCATTACTGGACGACGGTCATGGTAGTGAGTGCATTTTTATCCACTTGTTGTACAGCCGTGTTCTATGTAGGTCCTTGGGGGTTTCTATGTCCTGTCCCAGGCACAAGCTCTTTCACGTTCCGATCCCAGATCCCCAAAACGTTCCAGACCGCGGAGAAAGGGAAGGTGAGATACAAACAGGGCCGCAAAGAACAGACGTGGGAACAAGCATTATTTATGTTCTATGGTCTAACATTTAGAGGAAACATATGATGTACAATGTGTAACAATGGTTATGCTAGAAGTGTCTTTTGAATATTCATCGGAAGCAAAGCCCTATAGGTTGGTTGCTACCGTATACCTTGGATGCAGAGCGTTGCGCCGTTAAGCAAAGAAAACACAGGATCAGTTTGCTATGATGCAACTGTTGCGTGGGAAGATTCGCTGGGGAGCGTAGAATATGCTGACCCAGGGAAAGCCAGTGAGCCTTTTGGACTCATACATAAGTAAGTTTCGCAAAAATAGCAGCTAATAATTGAGGAATGAACACCTGTAAATGAGAAGCTAAGGGGCGTCTCTGTACTGACCAGGTGAGAGAGTGCCGAATTAAAAAGCTAAGAAGGGCTAATTGACGGAAGGACCGCGAATAGCCAGAATACATGCGTACATTAAGGTTGCTGAGGATATCAGAACCTGAGGCTTAACCGCAGCAGCCAGAGTGCTAGGGTAATAGTGCCAAGCTGGATAGAGCCATGGACTGCTAGCCCGAGACTTAGAGTATTGCAGGTAAAAATGCCTAAGACAATACAGCAAGTAATGGGTAGATAAAGGTCTAGAAATGTAAGGCAGAGGAGCGGCTTACGCTGAATACCTGGATATGTTTGCACGACAGAAGAAAGCTAAGAGAGGTTTCGTGATAGAATGACAGTGGACAAGTAAAGCGCAAGCATACAAAGAGGTTGTTAGATAGTTAGTGCATAATAGACTACGACGCATCGACGTGCAGCAAATCAAATCATGCGGTGGTGCTAATGGAGTATAATTAAGGAGGCCTGAGCCGGGAGAAGCCAGTGAGAGAGCTGTACTACGGCCCATTAGGTGTCGCGGATGAGCAATGGCATTTAGGTGTGGCCTTATAATTGCTAGTGAACACCTGATTAGGGCAACAGACAGCAAGTGTATGTGATGCACGCAGTCCCAGGGATTAAAGCTTGGAGGGATAAAGTGTGGACCTTGGCAGCTCAGTATATGCGCAAAGATGATAGTAGCTTATGAAGAAGGACTGCTGCTAAACACGGGAGCCAGAGGTAAGACGAGGAACAGTTAGGGTCGCTGTAAGTGTGAGTATCCGTGATCAGCAATGGAATTTGCATGAAGCCTTTTAGTTGCTAGTGTACGTATTGGAACTAGCTGTTTGCATGTGCTTTGAAGCTAAACTCCTCTCATTGGCTGGCTATCCGAACAAGCTTTCCGAGGTGCTTGGTGGGTTTTTCGCATTAATCCCGTTCCCGCACATGGTTTGGCGGCAGTGTTTCAGGACACGGTGGGTTTCTTCTGGCAATTGCTCTCCACATAAATGGCCACGAATATCTGTATAAATACACTGCAACGTGGTGGATGTGCCTCGTAAATAAATAAAGACACTG